GCTCAGGCTACAAATATGAAGACATTAAAATGGAAATCACCTACTGCATATCCCTTCTATTTTCTTACTGGTCTTCTTTTGTTAGACATCGGAATTATGAAAGTTAATAAAAACTGTTTTTCTTTTCTGAATTAGTTCATCTGCTTTTAGAATGAAAATACCAAGAGCCAGGTTGATGTGGACATGAAAACAATGAGACACATATGCTATATTATGCCAAAATGCAGAGGCCACACCATTTTTAAAATTCTTAACCAGCTGGGACGATTCCCTCCAAATACTTCCCTCCAGTGCAAATTTTCACTGGTTACAAATGGGCCTGCCTTCTATAAGTCTGAGGGCAGGTCTGAGGACAAAGGCCACTCTACACCCTCAGGCCTGTCCAGGATCCCTGGCTGGAAGCCAGAGTCCCAGCCCCTCTCCCTTCCTCCACACAGGATATAGGAGAAATGGGAACTCCATGCTGTGCGGGACACAGAGACATGTCCCCTTATCATGTACCAGTGGTACACTCAGGGCCCCTGCCCAAGCAACCCATTGTGTTACAGAGACTTCATTTTGGAACCATTTAAACCCACAAATAGCTCTGATATCCAGCAAAGTTATGACAATATAATGTAACCCCCCCACCAAACAAGATTTCTGAGATGCTGAGTAGAAGGTGAGAAAACCCACATAGCAATTTTGCCAATATTGTCATATGGCAAAAATTCCTTTCAGCCTCCAGACAAAACTTGTCAATCAGCCTAATCTCCTACATCATACGAGATCTAGCTCTAGGGGGGTGTCTCCTGCCCTTGGTGCAGTCTCTCTTGGGGTTCCAGCTTTCTCCTAACTGATCCCCTTCAATTTGCCTACAGTTAGACCAGTCCATAAACTCTGAACCCAAATTGAGTCTCTCCACCCTTCAACTTGCAGCCTTCTGTTGATTCCTTGTTTGTTTCTTAGAGGCAGCCTGACGTGGTGCTGTGGCCCCTTTGCTATTCTAGGCCTTTCTGCCTCCCTCGCCCTCTGTTCTCCTTCCTTTATAGCTGGGCTTGTTTTCTTTATTGCCAGCCTGATTGCCTGTAAGCAGGGAAGACTCTCCCCTCCCTTCTGTCTTTCTCAGTATGGGGTTTGTAAAGCCCATTATAGGTGGGTAAGGGCAGGGCTGGACCAGAGCCAAATTGGTGATTTACCAGCATTAAGAGCAAGCAGAAACTATCCCTTTTCTCCTGCCTTGTCAGGTGAGTTAGCCGATCAGCCAGCCCCCTCATGGCTCTGCTTTCCACTGCCACCAGAAGTAGGAAGGTCAGGCTCCATTACTTGGATACCCTGTGGGATAGCACCCTGCACACACTGGAGAAGGGAAGGAATGAGAGGGAAACGTCACCCTTTCTCTCTCTCATACACACTGCAGAGAGGGTGAGGGGAAGTAGAAGGAGTATGTGTAGCACTGCCCCAGCCACTTCCCCTGGGGCATATGCCCCTCACAGATATGCATATATATCCTTCTGGTCATTCACATAGTGTCCGATATCTAGTGACCATGTTGTGTTGGGTCTCTCTAACAAAAAATTGTCCGGAGACTGATAGAGGACTAATGCATTTACATTTGGGCAGTGGGGAAGAATCGTTCTCCTGTGAGAGAGGTAACAGGTTTTATTTCCATGTTTGTTGTCTTGAATTCTCTAGCATGTGGTGATGATTAGACCAGAATAAATTTAAATAGTGGGGTGCACTTTAGATTAGCCCATTTTATTAGCACTTCTTAACTTGTGCAGTATTTTCAGTTATCTGGGGATCCTGAAATGAAACCTGACCTCATTCTAGTTCCCTCTCAAGCTCTCTTGAGAGTATCAGAAGAAACTAAATGGGACCAGTGCACCATTCTTTCTCCCTCTGACAAAAGTGTATTTCAACAAAACTGAATTGCTACAGAGAGTCACACAGCAGCAATGCTCCTTTTGCCAAGCCCTGAGGTGCGTCCATTAGAAGATCAGAGAGCCAATGGCCTTTTCCCTAAAGCATGTCAGAGGAAGGTTACAGCTCTGGATACTTTTTACTGTTCACTGGGAACTCATGTGGCTTGTGAAATTTTACTTTGTGTTTTGTTTTTGTTTTTTGCTTCCTTGCATAAATTCTTGCTGTGACCAATAAATTTTGACAGCAGGTATAGGCAAACAAACCCTAGCAAAATAACATCCTGCTATCCCCAAACTGTCCTCTTCCTGAATCAGACTGTATTCAGGCATGGATCTTTACTTTCTCAAGAGATCCCTGGTTCAGGATCCCTGACCTCTCACCCCAATCTTTATAGTAACCAGACTCCTCTCTACATTACTGCTCTCTGTGTTTTGCCCCTGTCACAGAATGTGTGCACCTTGGATTATTTTCCACAGGGGAATTAGCTTGCATTTTTCTAACCTGATTCTCATTTTGTTGTTTTCTGGGTTAATGTTTCTAATCTTTTCAGATCTTTCTGTATTATTTAACAGTCCTCACTGGTTTTTGCAACTCATCCCAATTAGTCTTACCTGGGGATTTCCTATCATATAACATTTCTAATATGCAGCTTCCCTGTCACAGCTGTCAGAGAAAGTGCAGATAAGCATGATCCATGAATGTGAGGAAGGGAAACTTGTGTTTCCTGGCTCAAGTTTGGATGCAGGGAACTGGGTTGACGCTATGTTTACTAATAGAATACAGAGCCTTTCACTCCTAGTGCACCCAGTTTGTGTTTGGTCGTATCTGTAATTGCTGCAGTTATTGGCACCTAATGGCTATTCAGTAGTCTGTGTGAAATTAGTTTCTGATGTCAGTCTAGTTTCTAGAAGCCAGGTGTCTACATCACCAAAAATATTTTTTTAATCAGTCTTAACAAAGGCCAAGGACTGGAAGGACATGGAGGCTGAACCAACTCCATGGTTGCTATTCCTGAGCAATGTTTGAAGAATAGTGACAGGGAGTGTTGAAATTATATATTACTGTGCTTTGTGGATAATGGAGTTTAATCCATTCATGCACTAAATTCTCTCTCTACACACACACACACACACACCCCAACCAACCAACCATTGAAATAGCTAATGAAATAACTCTTCAATGACATGGGATGGGATTTTCAAATATGCTCACCATTGGCCTGACTCAACTGTTGAAGTCAGCAGATGAAATATGAGGCCCATTGAAGTCAATGGCACAACTCCTTTTGACTTCAATAGGGCCTGGATTTCACCCAGTGACCTCGGGAGTGGAGCGGAGGGAGAGGAGGGCAGAGTCAGACCAAAGCTGATTGCTTTTGAAAATCTCCCCTAGGAGCCCTAAGCATGTTACTGATCTCAAATTAACACATCTTTCCTACTGCTGCTAAAAGTGGAAACCTTTTCTTTTTGTTTGAGCAGAAGAAATTTGTTAAAAATAGGCCAAATCATCCATTCATGGCTCAGCCAAAACTCCCGATATTCAATGAGAATTTTTCTTGATTAATGACTGAACATTTGGCCTTGTGTGAACTTGGTGGGGAGTGCAGTGGACAAAAGTACACTGGAGGATTCCTGAATTAGGATCAGTGATGAATTATCTATAATTTTGTACCAGTTTCCAAAAGTGGGAGAATGAGGGAAATATCTCTGTTATTTCTTATAAACACCACGTGCAATTCAGTATATCTATGTTATATCCTGCCAAAGGAGGCTGTAAGGGAAAAACTAGAAAGAAATGAAATAATGGCAAAAGTAAGGTGCTATTTTAGAGAATACCAAGGGTCCTTGGGGAAAGGAAGGTATTAATTGGGGAATACCTCTTGCTTCACTCCACCTAGGCTGGAAAAGTTTATTCTTCCCAGGACAAACCTAGGATCAAAGGAGATACTAATACCTTAAAGATGCTGGTTTAGGGAAGAAAGGGGGCTGCCCAGTGAGCAAACTGACAGAAATGCTAGGAGAGACAGAGAGGGAGACACAGGCAGCCTGCTGCAGTGAGAGAAGCTGCTTCTGACAATCCAGAAATGGAGGTAACTGGGCTGAATCTAATTTACCAAAGTTCACAAGGAAAGACTAAGGTTTAAGTAAGGGGAAATAAACATAAAGGCCTTTATTGTTTACTCTGCATTCTGTGTACCTTTGGGTGAATAAATAATACTTTGGTTTGAAGAAGATTTTCTGAGTCACTTGAATCAGTCTCAGTCACAGGTTCCCAGAGGAAAAATTACTGGTGCCAAACACAGTTGGGCCTGTTGTATTAACACTGTTGGGAAACGGGGGGGCTGCTACCCAGAGATCCAGTCTAGGAGTGGTAGGACCACATGGTTCCATCCTAAAGAATAGTGCAGGTAGCAAAACCTATCCCCAGAGGGGGGTATGCTTAAGAGGGACTAAAAGGGGTCTAAAGCACAGCATGCTTTGGAACCATGACAGTGGTGACACGTGTCTTAGAGATGGAGTCTTGTTAGCTTCTGATGCGTCACTACCAAGTGTTCCATATAGAGTATGTGGAATAGAGGGCAAGTCTGCGTGTTCTTTATGGTGGTGCTGATCTATAAGTGGAAATAAAGTCATATAATGATGCTACAGGGATTGCAAAACTTTCAGAGACTGTGTGTATGTGTGTGTGTGTGTGAACATTAAACAGTGCAAAAGTTTTCCATTTGGTGTTTGAATAAAAGGTCACTGACTGGTCACTGATCACGGCTCACTCATGCAAACAAGCATGGTTGACAGCAATCAATGAAAAAGCCCCATGAGAAGTTCCCAGTGACTGTGTGAGCACTTCATATTGGTCCAGTCTGGTCGCTGAATAAGGTGCAATCTTTCACTGCATGTGTCTGTATCTACTTAATTTTTCCATACCTCCAGGAATACTATGATTTTCTTTAATTATTCAATTAACAATGCACAGAGCATATTGTCATATACTTGGGGTACCTGACATATCAGAAAATGGAGAGTGTATGTCACAGAGGCAAGAAGGATAGGTTATGCTTTGAGAACTATATGAAATGTTTTATTTATTTCTTCCAGTCTCCTAAATCAGCATTTATCAGTGCTGCAAAAAAGGCAAGATTGAAGTCCAACCCGGTCAAAGTACGCTTCTCCGAAGAGGTCATTATCAATGGCCAGATTTCAGTGAGTACCTCAAGCCATTTTAACTTGAAGAAGGAACAAGACCATTTCAGCGAAAGGCACTCTATAAAGTTCTAAAGGGAGAAAAATGTACAGTAAGCACAACCTTGGTACTGTTGTAGAAAATATAGTAGAGGTTTTGGAGAGGAACATTCTAAAATATCTAAATAAATTAAAGCACATTAATTAGGCCCAGAGCACTACAAAATCTTCAGACTTTTGTAAATGTAAAATTTAAAATTCCAGGAGGACTACAGTTCATGTGGCTCATATCTTAATTTAGCATAGGATTTGTTTTTCTTCTGTAGAGTTGTTGGGTTTTTTGTTGTTGTTTTAAAGGAAATTTTGTAACTGGAAAACCTGTAAACTCCAGTGAAGCAGTATGTCAGGAAAACAGATTAACACTAACTTAACCTGAATTTTAAAGAGGTCTTTATCTACTTTAAGTTGTTCTCTCCCTAACCTGTCCCCAGGCAAAGTCAGGCCTCCTTCCAAAGGCACAGCTTTTTAAAGAAGAACTCCTGGCTTGCTTGCTTGTTTTATAAATTGCCAGAAGCTGGTGATCCATTTATGTCTTCCTCTGAGTTCTTTGTTTACATGGAGAAAACTCGTAATTTTCATGTTGTTAATCAGTAATTTCACTTTGAAAAACCAATAATCGCCTTCTGTTTTGTCCCCCATGAATGAATCAAATTTCCTTTTAACATTGCAATCCCCTTCCCAGACTGTCACAATAGAAACGAGCAATATACATTATTGTTTGTGAATGATAATATTTGTGCCAAAACCCCACATCCAAAAGCCCTAAAATATCGGTGAATAGAGCCCGGCAAAATGTTTCAGTTGAATAGTAAATTTGCCAAAAAGTGCAGTTTAAGGGCAACTGAAAATGATGGGGAAAGATTTTTAAGTTGAAACGGTTCATTTCCACATTTTCTAAATTAACCATTTTGACATTTGATTTTGAATCAACATTTTCTAAACAAAATGTCATTTTGAATTGACATTTTGAAATTAAATATTGTTTTGATTTGACTTGACTTTCATTTCAAAAATATTGTTTGAACATTTTTGAATGTTTTTTCAATCAACCCAAACGAAATGTTTTCATTTCAGTGAGGAAGAAATTAAAAAAATTCAGTTCCAGTTTGAAATTAGCCATTTTTTTCTGAACCAAAAAATAATTAATTCACTCAATTCTAGTTCAGAATCCAGAGCTGTATTCATATCCTGCTGTTTGGCACCAGTCCTCACAGCTACACATTGCAGAAAAGAGTATTGACCAGTTCTATCCCTGATGCATCTTTAGGGATGTCCATGAAGGTACAGCAGGAATGAATTTGACCATATGAGTTTAATTTGACATCATGAGAGGTCAGCCTGTTATACAATGTAACTTTACAGTGATGTGATAAATAGTTCCCAAATAGGTATTTTCTAACTGCATCTGCATACATCACATGTTCTTGCAGAACATTATTGTAAAAAACCAAGCAATGGTGCAAAAGGACAGGTAAAACGGGTAAATTTCCAGGGTTTTTGTGCTGCATTCTTATCACTTAAAAACAAACAACTGAATCATTTCCACATGAAAATACAGATCTCTGCTGTAAATGAGGACAGAACTTTCATTATGGTAGTCATTTATTTGTAATCAGATTTACCAATTACAGATGGAAAAGCTAATGATAGCACCATAGTTGCAGCACTGTGGACATGCAGTCTAACAACTAGTGGGTCTGTCACATGCAGCTATCCTAGCTATACGGCATATCACTGGAGTCTCCTGCAGCGAGGCATTGCTAATTCTGCTTTGGGTTTGATCCAACATACCCATTTTCAGACTTACCAGCCTTCCCTGCTGTATGGTGTTCTTCCCTATAGAATACAATTTAGGTTCTTCTTGTTGCATGTGAAGTGTAATCTAATTCACTAATCTGTTTTAACAGGAAACTGTTAAGGACAATTCACTTCTCTTCATGCCAAATGTACTGAAGGTATATCTTGAAAATGGGCAAACCAAATCCTTCCGTTTCGACTGCAGTACTTCAATAAAGGTAGGCTAATCTACCAAACCTCATAATGTACAGTGCCAACGATGCCATTAAAATATTCTTCAAAGCCTTTGTAATAGAAAAACAAAAACTCCAATAAGCTCAGAATTTGAGCCTGAGCCTGGATCATTGTATTGTTCATGGCTGACTTCATAGATGTGTGTAGTAAAGAAGTAATAAGATTCTGCCAATAAAAGCATAGTGTTGTGTCAATGAAGCAAAAATAGGAGTGATAATTTTAATGTGACTGCAGCTTAATTAAATTTGCATGGACTTTGCTAAGGTCTGATATTCTGCCAAATGCCAGTTTGATTTGTCAGCAAAGTCAGAAGGTAAGAAGATTAAGATGTTGGTTGCTAACTGAATATCATCTAGCCTGTAGTCTAGTGAAATCAAGACAGGATAATGACAATAAATTGTTCATGTCAGTGTATTGTCTCCTTTTCTTCAACATATTTCATAGAGAGGCTAAATCACAAGGTGAAGTTGTGACATACAGTTAATGCAAGTAGGGAGTAGAACCTGTTCTGTTCAGTTCTAGGTAGGTTCTTATACTGCACTCATCACCATAATATCTGAATACCTTCCAATAGTGCATTAAGAAACATGACTAACAGCTGTCATGTGTTTGTTCCCGCATGTGTGCAGTAGAGTGTTTTGTTTGGTTATGTCATATACACACACACATTGCTTTGTGTTTGTGTTCGAGAAAGCAAGGTCAAAGAAATGCACTTTGCAGTTATAGTGGAAGGGGTGAGGTTTGTGATGGTCCTTAGTTCCTGTGGGAGTTCCTTCCACAGCCTAGGACCAGTGCCCAAGAAAGCTCTGTCAGGATGACTTCTCTCTGTGAAAGTCACACGTGAGTTTTCAAGGTACTATGGTGATGAGGATCATATAAGTAGATAAAGAGTGACTTGAGGGATTTCTTCTTTTCCACTTCAGCACTTGATGTTTTCTGTCACAACGGTTTATTCAAAAGTTTCCCATTTTATTCTATCAACATGATTTTCATAGTGATTATTTCATGATGTTCAATCAGTTTGACCTCGGCTTTCTTCAGCTGCTGTGGTAAGGACAGATTTTTACTGAAATGAAGGCAGGGAAATTTTGATCAGTTGATTATAAGGTACTGGGAACTGGGAGAGAAGATTGGTTAGGAATTACTACAAGGTGCTATACAGATTAAAGAGAAAAATGTTGGCTGGTTTTAATAATTGGACACATGCACCTCCTAGCATATTCAGAAAAAGCAATTAGTAAACAGCACATGTCCGTGTCATATTACTTTTCTTTAGCAAACATCTTTCTTCAAATTACTGTTATATTGTTTGTGTTTGAGCACAAATTAGAAGTGTCAATAAGAGTAGATTGACTGGGTAGGCTTTAAATTCCCTCTGAGTCAACACAGTAATAATAGTAACTTACACTATTGTACTAGCTTGCAACTGATTAATTATGTGGTTTATTTTTTAAGGTTTATAGACTCCTGTCCAATCGCCAACACACACACTCACACCACTCTTGCACCAAGTTGTTACACTTCCATTAAAAATGATTAATTGATCTATTAATCTACCTAATCAACTTTTGGCCTAATTTCTGTTAAAGTACTTGGATTGTTATTCATCAGATGCTCTCTTTAGTAAATCCTATCCATCTGGACCCTAATGTATATCTAACAATCATTGGGATGGATGTAAATGCTTTAATATTTTCACCAGTACATCATGAATTTGCATTTCAATGTTGATTTTATTTTGTATTCCTCTCTGTCACTGCACTTACTAAAATAACAATAATTGCTGAATGACGTTAATGATCTTGATATGCTTTATAGATCAACATAGAAAGTAAAGTGATAATTAGGGATAGTTGAACAGGTTCGGGTGAAATAAAGATTGGATTTAGTCAATTTAATACTTAATTGTAATTTTAGAAACAATTACACTTGAAATGATCACCCTTATTTTAAGATTTATGTCACTGTGAAAGAGTTTTGCTATAGTCCCCACCTGCCTCGCTTTTATAATGAAAACAAGAGCCCAACTTTGGAGGTGCTGCCTAGGAGACATGTCATTGTTCTTGACTTTATTTTGATCATTTTTAAATATGTAAATATGCCTCTACAATGCAGGGGTGTTAATGTCTCTTAATAAGAGATTTCACTGCACATTTTTTAAAAAAACCTTCACTATAGAAACAAATCTATTCAGATTCATTGAAATCTGTGGGAATTGTGTCCAATCTCACCCTATGATTTTGTGGTTCCCGCTTTGAAATGCTGGAGAGGTTTATGTTCTGTCTTTTGGAGGGAGATATTGTCTCTTTTTAGGGTGAATCTGAGGTGTGAACATAATTTACACATTCAATTGCCACAAAGACCATCCATCACAGTAATTTTATATACAACAAACATTTTTCATGCCCAGTTCTAAAAATCTGGTCCCGAAAGTCTGGAGTTTAACTCAGAGAAGCCTAAACTTAAAGGATCTTATTCTGCACTTGTTTCTATCTTGTATAATTGTTTACAGCTGTGCAAAGTGAGAGTAAAACACAACCATTCTGACTTGGAGTATTTAACTTCCACTTTATACTTGTGTAAATGACTAGACAATCTGCAAGGCAATGGAAAATCAGGCCCCAAACCTTTCATGATTTTAATCACATTTTATAAATCCTCTCTTAATTAGGATGTCATCTTAACACTCCAAGAAAAGCTTTCCATCAAGTGTATTGAACACTTTTCATTGATGCTGGAGCAGAGGATTGAAGGAGCTGGAACCAAATTTCTCTTGCTCCATGAACAGGAGACTCTAGCTCAGGTTTGTGTAATAATACATGCAAGTAGATATGAATGATATTAGATAATCATTATGCTCAAATAAATTGGTTAGTCTCTAAGGTGCCACAAATCCTGCTGTTCTTTTTGGGGATACAGACTAACACAGCTGCTACTCTGAAACCTGTCATTAGATAATCTGTAAATTATCTGTTCCTCCAATTACTTACGTGAATTAATTCAGATGCACTGAACGAAACACTACCAGCAGCTACACATGATTATTGGTGATGATAGTATGACTCTCCCGGAGTGTCAGTTTGTCTATTACCTAGACATCATATTTTGATGCTTTGGTAGCTCATTACAAAAGGATATGAAACTTCGTAAGTTATTATATTTATAGCTAGAAAATATGCATCAAATCCTTTTTCATATCCTGTACAGAACTACTCATAAACGTCACTGAGCAGATAAAAAGTTCTATTGCAACAGGCCAGAGAACTTTATTCAGTTTATCGCGACGCGTTGAAATGCCTTATGGTTTAGTCTTTTGCGTCCTGACTGGTTACCGAGATATTTCTGTATAAGTTGAAGCTGTCTTCCTTCTGATCATGTCTCACCTATTTTAGCAAAACTTTCTAAAAAAACGCTTAGGGGTCCTATGGAAAAACAGTTGCAACTCTCAAGGGCCCTGTGATCGTGTAGTTAAAGAGTGTATCATAATGCATATGCACAAGGAGGCCTGTGCAACCTTAAATCTGGTATTTCCTAACTTTGGAGTGCTTGATTAGGCAACCTGAACGTTCTTTTAACATAATTTTGTGTGTGTAGTTCATCCAAAGAGTGTGGGATTTTCAAAAGCACTCAGTGCTGGCCTCACTCTGCTCCCTCTTTGAAGTCAATGGTAAAGCTTCCATTGAAATCAATGGGAGCAGAGTTAGGCCAACACAGGGGGCTTAAGAAAATCCCATCCAGAGCTTTTATGTATACACACACATGCTCCACCTAGGTATTTGGGAACAGAGATACAGAGAAAGTGCAGGACAAGCTAAAGGTTTGGAGGGTTTTTTTAAGCAAATTACAATATATTACAAAGATTTCTAGAGCAGGACTGTTATTCCTTAAAAGATTTTAATGCTCAGCAAAGCTTCTGTCAATCAATTAATGGAATAATATGATTATAAATTGTTAATATATAATGTTATATTTATAAATAATATAAAATGCTAACTTTCTATCCAGATTTGAATTGAATTTGAATAATTGGTAGAATTAAATGAACTGCATTTATTATGCATTATTCTATGGCTTTCTTCATTGGAGTTCCTACTTCAGTTTACCATCACACACTTGCTACTGACAATATTTTATTGTATCAGAATTGGAAAATGACCATTTCATCTGATTGTCCCACAACTTACTTGGTAGTTCGACTTTATACTACCATGTAAATATGCTCAGCCTGCTGTTACTTTTTTAATAAGTTTTATGTTGCCTGTCAAGCAAATAAGTTTATCTCTTGAAGTGGTGGATAACTCTATTGTTATCACGTAGTCTTTGGGGAAATCTCTTGGTCTAGAATCACATAGCTAAAAAAGTGCTTAATAGTGATTGGATCAAATCCCTTTTAAAAATAAGGTTTTTTCCCCCCCCTGGAACCATCACCCATTGTTTTACTTTCTCAAAAAATTTTCAATAAGATTTTCTTGCAAATCCCTGTCAACAAATGTTCTGTAACTGAGAAAAAAACATACAAACAAAACCTGTTTAATCTATTACTTTGAGGGCTGCCAAGATCAAATACTTGGAAATCATACAGTGAAAGTCTCTTAAAGTGAAGTCACTTTTTTCATGGAACAACTTCACTGTCAGTGGAGAATAACTGTAGCCAACAGTTCAATTTGCACATTTCACTGGAAGAATCTGCTTCCACTGTTTTTGCATTTAGATGTGTTTCATGTCCTGATAACTCTTCAGCTGCTCCTGGTCCCACAAACATACAAATTTAAAGATGGACAAAGTTCAATTTTCATTTTGCCAAACCTAATGAGGAGCTTGATCCAATGCCCATTGTTAAGTCAATAGAAGTCTCTCTATTGACTTAGGTGGGCTGTGGATCAGGTTTAAGGTGTCTAAAACTAAGAATAGCATTCAAAATCCAGTGTTTCAAAGTGCTAATAAGATGATTGCACTCTTCTAGGTGACCCAGAGACCAAGCTCCCATAAGATGAGATGTTTGTTCAGAATCAGCTTTGTCCCAAAGGATCCCATTGACCTTTTAAGAAGAGATCCAGTTGCTTTTGAATATCTATATGTACAGGTAAGTGAAAACATAACCAATCTTAGCATAAGCTAAAAAAAAGTGTAGATGGCAACTTTGAATGTACTTTTTCGTTTGTGCGTTCACAGATAAAAATGGGATGGTTCTGATTTTTAAATATATTGGTTATGTGTCCTAAACCCACCACATTCAGAGAGATGCGCAGGTGTTTATTTTCCAGAAAAATCCCTAGCCCCCCACAAAAATACTTCTTATATGCTAATGCTATGGCATCCTTCCAAAGAGTGTTCAGCTCTAGGAGGCTTAAGGAAGTGAGCCGGCAGCACTTCTCACCAATTGTTTCTTGTCCTGTAATGTCATTCATGGAAAATCTCTTGGAGGGTAAGAAAGATGGTGCACACACAGCAGGGATGCAGGCAGAACATGGTTGTATCAAAATCCACATGCCATTTGCTCTTGGGCAGCTACCTGGATTCTTCTGAGGCATCCAGACTTTCATGAATACCCAGCACTTCTGAGAGACATAGCCTACTGTCAGTGTAATGCCACCTTTCAGTGTGGGGTTAATCCATAATGCATCCATCTTTAAAATCAATCCATAAAAGCTTGTTTATGCTTTGCTTTTTAAGTCAAAGATATTTGAACTTGATGCTCCCTCTCCTGGTTCTTTGGCAGAGCTGCAATGATGTGGTTCAGGAGAGGTTTGGACCTGAGCTGAAATATGATATTGCTCTGCGGCTGGCTGCATTACAAATGTACATTGCGACTGTGACCACCAGACAAACTCAGAAAATCTCCCTCAAATATATTGAGTAAGTATAGCATATAGAGCATTCCTCAAAAACAAAGGTTAGATAGTGTTTGTAGGTCTTTTGCATGTTAGTCAATTGGTCTGTCTGTCTGCATATCCTGATTTTAGGTTTGTGTGCTTTCAGTGCACTTTTAATTCTCATATTGCACTTGCCCATCTATTGACTAAACCATGCTTAGCAACATGGCCTCTACCTGAAACACCAGCTTTAAACCTCTCTTCCTCTGAGATTGCCACAGACCCCGGAGCGCTGAGCTGGGAGCCTCATGTGATCCCTATGGCTAATTTGGAAGTGATTCCGCTTCACTTTTGAGGGAGCAACATTTACAGCTCTCCCCGTCTGGAAGGATGGTCAGCACAACACAAGGACCCTGAGGGGGAGGTGCAGTTGCCAACTTTGAACTGATTAATCCTTGACTGTTGCATACCAACAGTGTCTCCAAATATACAGGTTGTGTACCACATGCTAAGCTAAATTGCCTTCTCAGTTACCGTAGTGCAACCTTTGGCCCAATGTGCTCAGAGTTGGGTGTAATATGAAATATAGGTCTAAAAAACCCTAATAAAGAACAAATAAAACAGAGCAAGTAAACCCTTGCCATTGTGCCTTAACAAATGTTCCTTACAGAAAATGTAGAATTGTACCACCGTTTATGTGTATATTCCTGCATCTGTTCATAAGTTGGAGGTGAGGAACTAAAGATTAAAAATGAGAGGAATCTCTGAGTCTCTGAAAACAGCGTGGAAAATCCCTGGGATAGGAAGAGCCTCACACCGCAAATGTTAAAGCATCTTATTTGTCTATGAAACAGTATGTACTCTGAGTACAGAAAATAGCACAACTGGTGCCTTCACCAACTCTCCCTGTGCTTTCAGGCTTTCATTTACTCAGCATCACAGCCACCATCTAGTCCTAGATAAATAATCAACACAGGAATGTGAACTTAAAGATATGCCTTTTATTGCAGAAAAGAATGGGGATTAGAGACTTTTCTTCCATCTGCTGTGCTGCAAAGCATGAAAGAAAAGAACATAAAGAAAGCACTTTCACACCTTGTCAAAGCAAATCAAAACCTAGTTCCTCCGGGTAAAAAGGTATTTGCATCTTAATGGAAAATATATTTTAAAGACCAGAGAGGACTGCATGCACGGGAAATGTTTAAACTTAGTTCTTTGGAGAAATACCTAGCCAGTATATTTTCAAAGATGGTTAGACTGTATAACTTTCAGTGCCTATTACCACATTTCCAAGAACAATTGAAAATAATTAATTATACTCCAGCTAAACCATCTCCTCATTTTGAGAATGGTGGAAAATTGATGATTAACCACCAGGGTATGCCCAGGATTTTTAAAATTCATTTAGCACCTGTTGTTAATGGCAAACCTGTTAGAGAATTACGTTCTCTCTGCGTAATGCTCTAAGCTATGTTAACCTGTGAGCCTGGCACAGACATAAGACATTTTCATGGTACTACAGGATGATTTGCTCTGGTGCCGCAGGGTAAAGTGACCACAGTTGGCAAGATGTCACTTGATTAATTATCTCCCTTATTGTAACTGAATCTTCAGTGTTGTTATAATATGCCTAGTCTTGGTATTAAGCCTTTGCTTCAACCGGGAAAACTGAGGGAAAATGTCTATGGACATTTGTCTGTGGAAAACATCTATGCCATATATATGCAGCTTTAAGTGCTTTTAGATACAGAGACCCGCTGTGAATGGCAGAATACCAACAGCTTGATCCAAAACCTATTGAACTCAACAGAAAGACACCCATTAACTTCAGTGGGCTTCAGCTCAGGACCCAAGAGACGAACATAAATCTGTGTTTATTTTAGTACTGCTAAATGTTAGAGGTTAACTAATTGCCAAATTTTTAACTGAACAAACCAATGTGTACGCTTTACATAGCTGCAACAAAAGCTGAAATGGTGTCAGCTGTATGTATTTTATCCTAATAGTTCAGGTATGTTTGAATCCATCCCGCTGCTGGATTCCCAGCTGGCAATAGTGGCCCACAATAGCTTACACTATCTTCAGTTAGGACAGAGATTACAACGCTGCCTCCCTGATGCACTCCTTGTCAAAATTATCTATGCTTTTTGTTACCTTCAGATTGGGCTGCTATCATGTGCTCTGCTGAGGGCTGCTCTTGAAATGCATAGTACAGCCCCCTGCATGTTTAGCAGGACAGGCCAATGTGAAAACAACCCTGGTGCTCTGTAGTGGCTACCAGTCCACTCTGAGAGTAAATCCAGGAAGTGGTTATCGTCTATAAATTTGGTTTCCTTCAATGATTAGGACCCTGCCTATCTCAGAGGTTTTGTCTCCTTTTCACAGCCATTGTGTTCCACTTGACTACTCTAGCCATCTGTCCCCAGGGCTGAATGCCTACTGAAGGATAGGAGAAGACATTTTCAGTAGAAGGCTGACCACTAAAGCCTAAATCCGGAGACTTTTAGGATGCAATGCATGATAAATGTATTTATTCAAATTTTCATAATATGGGCATGTGGTACACCGGTGGGCAGGGTGGAGTGGTAAAATCATAGAAATATAGGGCTGGAAGAGACCTCAAGTAGTCATGACCCTGTAAACCTAGACCATCCTTGGCAGGTGTTTGTTCAACCTGTTTTTAAAAACCTCTAATTTTGGGGATTCCGTAGCTTCCTTTGGAAGTCTATTCGAGAACTTAACTACCCTTATGGTTAGAAAGCTTTTCCTAATATCTAACCTAAATCTCCCTTACTGCAGATTAAGCCCATTACTTCTTGTCCCACCTTCAGTGGACATAATAATTGATCGTTGTCCTCTTTGTAGTAGCCCTTAACATATTTGAAGACTTCTTATCAGGTCCTCCCTTAGTCTTCTTTTCTCAAGACTAATCATGCCCAGTTTTTTTAACCTTACATCATAGGTCAGATTTTCTAAACCCTTTTTTCATTTTTGTTGCTCTCCTCTGGACTCTCTGCAATCTGTCCACATCTTTCCTAAAGTGTGGGGCCCAGAAATGGACACAGTGCTCCACCTGAAGCCTCACTAGTACTGAGTAGAGCAGGACAATTACCTCCCATGTCTTAGATACAACACTCCTGTGAATTCACCTTGCAATGATATAAGCCTTTTTTGAAGCTACCTCACATTGATTCATATTCAATTTGTGATCCACTACAACTGCCAGATCCTTTTCAGCAGTACTACTGCCCAGTCAATTATTTCCCATTTTGTAGTTGTGTGTTTGATTTTTCCTTCCCAAGTGAAGTACTTTGCACTTACCTTTATTGAATTTCATCTTGTTGAATTCAGACCAATTCTCCAATTTGTGAAGGTTGTTTTGAGTTCTAATCCTGCCCCCAAAAGTGCTTGCAACCCTCCCAGCTTGGTGTCATCTGCAATTTTTATAAGCATACTCTCCAATCCATTATCCAAATCATTCATGAAAATATTGAATAGTACCGGACTCAGGACTGACTCCTGCAGAACCCCGCTAGGTATGTCCCCTTAGTTTGACAGTGTACCATTGATAATTACTTGCAGAGTATGGTCTTTCAGCAAGTTGTCCACCTTATGCTAATTTAATGTAGACCACACTTCCTTAGTTTGCTTATAAGATTATCATGTGGGACTATGCCAAAGCCTTACTAAAATCAAGATATATCATAACTTGTTTCCTCAGATCCACTAGGCCAGTAACCCTGTCAAGGAAGAAAATTAGTTTGGTTAGATTTGTTTTGACAAATCCCTGCTGGTATTCCTTATAACCCTATTATCCTCCAGGTGCTTGCAAATTGATTGTTTAATAATTTGTTCCAGTACCTTTCCAGGTATCCAAGTTAGGCTGACGGGTCTATAATTCTCTTATTCCTCTTTGTTCCCCTTTTTAAAGATAGGTTTGGCCTTCTCCAGTCTTCTGGGACCTCACCCATCCTCCAGAAGTTCTCAAATATAATTGCTGATGGTTCCAAGATTGCTTCACATAGTTCCTTAAGTACCCTATGATGAATTTCATCAGGCCCTGCTGTCTTGAATACATCTCACTTATCTAAATAGTCTTTAACCTGTTCTTTATTTTGGCTTGCATTCCTTCCTCCTATGTTGTTAATATTGTGTGGTCACCATTAATCTTTCGTGAAAACTGAAGCAAAATCAGCATTAAACACCTCTGTTTTCTTGATGTCATCAGTTATTAGCTCTCCTTCCCCACTAAGTAGAGGGCCTGCACTTTCCTTCATCTTTCTCTTGTTCCTAATGAATTTAAAGAACCTTGTCTTATGGCCTTTTAGGTCCTTTCCTAGGTATTTTGTGCCTTAGCCTTTCTGATTTTGTTCTGACATGCTTGTGCTATTCTTTTGTACTCCTCCTTAGCAATTTGTCCATGTGTCCACTTTTTGGAACTAAGATGGGCTTGATTTGCATGGAAAATATATTTTTTTAAACTGTGGATTTTGAGGTTTTTGCCTGAGCAAGGGCTGCAGATTTTGGACCTATATTATTTTTATGAACTGAAGAGATTTTTTTTGTCTAAAAATTATACTTTAGTTCTTAATTTTTAAATTGTTTGTTTTCACAAAAAATAAAACAACAAGCAAACACAACACTCCTGCCCCCCAAAACCTTCATTTAAACCTATTTGTAAATTTATTCCTATTTTTCATGGAAATAAATTATGGCATGTTTGTATGTATCTCTATACTATTTTTCAGGTTCATCCTGTGTTATGGGTAGCAGAAAAGTGACTAAATTATTGTTTGTTTAAAAAAAACTTTTTAGAAGTAAGTTAGAAATAAAATCCTATATATTGCAAGTATCTAGCAAAATGTGTCATGTATAGCTGTTCTTAGCAATTTTTTTAACATTTTGTTCTTTTTAAATTCACATTGGTAAACCAAATTTTAATGAACTGCTACTGATGGTGATTATGAATAGAAACTCCAGTCTACCCTTGAAATCCCTCAATGAACAGATGTTTAATCGGAGTAGTCTAACATTTTCCTTTTACTGAAAAAGTTCCAATGTACTTGCAGTGCCCTGATGCAACCCATACATGAGTCTTGAGTACATCTGATCAAAATAAATAAGATTTTAATTCCAAGATCTGAAATCCTGTTCCTTCATCAGGAAGTCAAATATATAATGGTTTATTGCCAGGCTGATGAGTTCATCACAGTCCAGTCTCCTTAGGCTGTGTAATCATGTTTTAATTCTTCCATTTCCATATGTGTTGATTTCCCCCATTGCATCTTAGTCCTGTAATAACATCAGAGGTTTCCTTCTCCTCAGCTGTCTGCTCTGCAAGCCAAGGTGCATTATCTCAAGTTCCTCAGCGATCTGCGATTATACGGGGGGCGTGTGTTCAAGGCAACATTAGTGGTAACTTTTTCCTTTATTTTCTTGATAATTTTCTCCAACTAATTTGCATCTGCCTGACTCACACATTTGCTTTAAGGAAGTTCAAGTCCAAATCAAACATTCTAAAATAACAAACACACTATATTGGATCAAACCACATAAGCACTTTTATTTCATTCTTCTTGAAAATGTCTTCCTTTGTATTCTGATTGGCAGCTTCGAGGAAGCATTCATTTGGTGGATGATGCTATGGGTATAATTATAAAATACTAAAGTTGTTGAATAAAAAATTATTCTTTTAAGAAATATACTCTACATCCACCCATGAAAACCTCAATGCAGTCAGTTTTTAACAAAAACAAATTGTGACATGATAACTTTTATTTTATGCATTTTGCTATAAATCTAGTACAGTCATGTACCTGTTGTTGTTTTTGTGTTTTGGGGTTTTGTTTGGTTTTGCCTCTTACTGAAGAACTTACTAACTCATGGCAAAGAAATATTGTGCAAATGAAAAGGAGTACTTTTGGCACCTTAGAGACTAACCAATTTATTTGAGCATAAGCTTTCGTGAGCTACAGCTCACTTCATGGGATGTGAGCTGTAGCTCACGAAAGCTTATGCTCAAATAAATTGGTTAGTCTCTAAGGTGCCACAAGTACTCCTTTTCTTTTTGCGAATACAGACTAACACGGCTGTTACTCTGAAACCTGTGCAAATGAAGTCTCATAAAAATGAAACAGGGTAGCAGTGCTGTTTTTGTTTCATCTTATTTTATTTTTCTTATGCAAAACCTGTCAGGTTTCTTACTCTTTTTAATTTTTATTTTCTTCTTTTTATGTTACAGCAAGGAGAAAAGCGTTCAGAAGTGACTTTGTTAGTAGGGCCACGCTATGGTATCAGCCACGTGATCAACACCAAAACGAACTTGGTGGCCCTGCTAGCAGACTTTAGCCATGTTAACAGGATTGAGATGTTTACAGAAGATGAGAGCACCGTTAGAGTTGAGCTCCATGTCTTAGATGTAAAAGTAAGTTGACTGTTGATTTGTATCAATTTAGTATCTTAAAATAGCATGATTTTCATTTTCCCTCTCTATTGGAATAGTTGATAAAGTTGTGCATGATTTTGTTCTAAATGTTTTCATGCTACCAATATTATCAACGTGTATTTTAGAATTGTTTTAGCTAAATGGCATACGGCTGATTACTTAGGAACATAGGAATTTCTATATCACATCAGACCAATGAGCTATCTAGTCCAGTATTCTGTTCCAGATGTTCAGAGGAAGGTACAAGAAACCCCATGGTAGACAGCTCTGGAACAACCTGCCTAGAAGGGAAATTTCTTCCCAATCCCGTAACTCTTCTGAATTCTTTTTATTCCATCTAATGTAATTGTGTGGGCTCTCGTTCTTCATATAAATGTCTGATCCTCTTTTGAATCCTACTGAGCAATTTGCCTCAGTGGAAATGAGTGGAATTTTGCAAATTACATCCTCTCAGTGCAGTTTATAGGATCGTGAAGCTTTATGATGGAAGCTTTCATAGAGTTTCTATGGAATTGTATAGAGGATAAATAGACCTTAAAGTGGGAAATATCACAGTATGCAAAAGTTCAATACTTTTAAGCCAAGGATGCTCCCAATTTTCCTCTTTCTTATAAAGGTATGTGGCAAAACTTACGCCAAGTTTTTACCACGATCTTACACCATATTTACCAAGCTCTTCTTTCAAACATTTAGCTTTTATTGACAAGTATCAATTGACAATATATTTAAGTTGATAATATTGCTGCAACTTGATCTGGATGAACAAGAAAACATTACTGGCTGGTGAGCACCTTCTATTCTTTAGCTCCCTGGACAATAATAATATCAGAAGATCCCAGAGTGCTTTATAGATATTAATGTCACAGCACCCCTTTGGGGTAATTATCCAGGTGCAGAAACTGAGACAGAAATTAAATGACTAATTTTGTTCACACAGAAGTTTTGTAACAAAGCCAGGAATCTCCTAGTTCTATGATGTAATCAAAAGATCATTCTTCCTCTGTGTTTAAGACCAGGTACTTTGAAGGAGTAAGGAGATGGGAATCTAAGAAGGCTAAAATACTTTATAATGCTAATTAGAGCTGTTGATTAATCTCAGTTAACTCATGCGATTAACTCAAAAAAATTAATTGCGATTAATCACAGTTTTAATCACACTGTTAAACAATAGAATCCCAATTGAAATTTATTCAATATTTCGGATATTTTTCTACATTTTTATATATATTGTATTCTGTGTTGTAATGGAAATCAAAGTGTATATTATTTTTCATTACAAATAGTTGCACTGTAAAAATGATAAACAAAAGAAATAGTATTTTTCAATTCACCTCATACAAGTACTGTAGTGCAATCTTTTTGTCATGAAAGTGTAACTTACAAATGTAGATTTTTTTTTGTTATATAACTGCACTCAAAAACAAAACAATGTAAAAATTCAGAGCCTACAAGTCCACTCAGTCCTACTTCTTGTTCAGCCAATCGCTAAGAGAAATAAGTTTGTTTACCTTTACAGGAGATAATGCTGCCATCTTCTTATTTACAATGCCACCAGAAAGTGAGAACGGGCATTTGCATGGCACTTTTGTAGCTGGCGTTGCAATGAAGCTAAACATTCATATGCCCCTTCATGCTTTGGCCACCATTCCGGAGGACATGCTTCCATGCTGATGATGCTCGTTAAAAAAAAAAGTGTTAATTAAATTTGTGACTGAACTCCTTGGGGGAGAATTGTATGTCCCCTGCTCTGTTTCACCCGCATTCTGCCATATATTTAATGTTATAGCAGTCTCAGATGATGACCCAGCACATGTTGTTCATTTTAAGAACACTTTCACTGCAGATTTGACAAAACGCAAAGAAGGTACCAATGTGAGATTTCTAAAGATAGCAACAACACTCGACCCAAGGTTTAAGAATCTGAAGTGCCTTCCAAAATCTGAGAGGGATTAGGTGTGGAGCATGCTTTCAGAAGTCTTAAAAGAGCAACACTCTGATGTGGAAACTACAGAACCTGAACCACCAAAAAAGAAAATCAATCTTCTGCTGGTGGTATCTGACTCAGATGATGAAAATGAACATGCATGGGTTCACACTGCTTTGGATTGTTATTGAGCAGAACCCGTCATCAGCATGTCCCCTCAAATGGTTGAAGCATGAAGGGACATATGAATCTTTAGGGCATTTGGCATGTAAATATCTTGTGACGCTGGCTACAAAAGTGCCATGAGAACTCCTGTTCTCACTTTCAGGTGACATTGTAAACAAGAAGCGGGCAACATTATCTCCTACAAATGTAAACAACCTTGTTTCTCTGAGCGATTGGCTGTTCAAGAAGTAGAACTGAGTGGACTGGCAGGCTCTAAAATTTTACATTGTTTATTTTTGAATGCAGTTTTTTTGTACATAACTCTACATTTGTAAGTTCAATTTCCATGATAAGGAGATTGCACTACAATTCAATTCACTTGTATTAGGTGAATTGAAAAATACTATTTCTTTTGTTTTTTTACAGTGCAAATACTTGTAATCAAAAATAAATGTAAAGTGAGTATTCTACACTTTGTATTCTGTGTTGTAATTGAAATCAATATATTGAAAATGTAGAAAACATCCAAAAATGTTTAAATCAATGGTATTCTATTATTCTTTAACCGTGCAATTAATTGCGTGATTAATCGCAATTAATTTTTTTAATCTCTTGACAGCCATAATACTAATAGCTAAGCAACACAGACCATAAAGCAGGGAAGTAATCTGTAGTGACCTGCCAGTTCAGTGAGGGAAGAGAAATATAAATGGTAGGTATCAAGAATGACAAGGAAAGTGAGTAGCACAAGATTTATATGGGCTAATTAGCAAGGGGTCAAAATACTTATTCTGCTTCCTGTCAAAAGGAGAAACTTACCAAAAGTAGTGTTATGATGGCACATGAATAATGATATGGAAATTTTGCATCTGATTATCAATAACTGAAAAATAATGTGAAACAGAAGTTTCACTACCACAGTGGGTAGGCCTAGGAAGTGGTTGATGTTGGCCGAGAACTAGGCATGGCCATAGCAACTGGGAAATACTTTAAGTACAAAGTAAAGCTGCTCGAACCCTTGACAGAAATCCAGAATGAGGGCAGCACTAACACCATGTGCCTTCCCCTTGTGATGAATTCTTCCATGGGATGCAAGTGGAGGGAGTGGGTCTAGCTGAGTAAGGAAGGGGTAATTTACATCTGCCTGTAGCAGCACTAGTGAATGTGGCCTAAGTGTCCATTCCCGAATCGGTAAAAGGGAATGATAATATCTCGCAGGGTTACTGTGAAGCTTATTTAATGCCTGTAAAGTACTTTAAGATCCTTGGTTGAAAAGTTCTATGTAAGTGTAAACAGCTTGAGTCTTTCTTTTACTGTTAATTTTCCTTTTCAGTATTCTCTCTACCACATGTTATTTCCGAAAAGTCATCAATAAAAGTTTAGTTGCTTCTAGGTTACAAAAAGGGTGAACAGCAGGTCACAGTAATACTCCTGACATTTAAAATCTCTCTGGAAATCATCTACTTTTATTGATCTTCTCAGAAAATTCAGCATCAAGAAAGCATTTCAAACATATCTCTCTATACATGCACACCTGCTCCTTCTCAACACTAACATAACCAGAATTGATTCACTCATCTTTGGGTAATAATTTGTATTAATTTTATGCCCAAAGTTGACTGCTTTGTGGCAAGCATGTGTCCTTATACCAAAGTTCCTATACTTCTGAACAAAATCTCAAATTGCCCAGAAGAAAAATGATAAATAATAATAATCATCATAATTAATAATAATTGCCTGGATTTTTCCACTGGGTCTGAAACTGCACCTGTAAAGTACTATGTGAATAAGGGTGTCATGGAATTTTATCAACACCATGTGTATTGGCTTAAGATTCTACGCTACGGATTTCTTTTAAAAAAACCATATACCTTGTTTTGTGCTTTGTCTTAGCTATGATCACAGAACCTTGTTTTGATCAAGAAGGCAAGTACACAGCATCCTTCAAGACCAATTGTCTATTAGTTTTCAGGAGGGTCCAATAAAATCTTCCCATAAATGTGGATACTGCTATAGTGTGGCACTTCAGGACTTTCAGTGAGCTGTAGCAATGATCCCATGAGTCATTACAGTGCAGCAAGGTGCTGGGCTGTATATCCACACCCTGGCTTGCCAGGCAGTAACTTGCCATGTAGATAAAACCCTAGGGTACACCAGTGAGAAAGGTGAAATATTTAGTTCTAAAATTTTATGAACAACATTAACTTTTGAATAAGTTCTAGATGTTAAGCATCTTAGAATTCATTTATTATTAATAATTCTATAGAGAGCAATACAAATATTAGTTAAGCATCAAGTGAATTTAAAATGTTCAGTTACACATTTTCCTTGCTTCAGCTCTCATCTCTCCAAACATTTTGTACCCTAAATATTGTTTTCAATCAGACCTTTCAGAGCTGAGGAAAACGAATTTACTTTTTGATTTTCCAATGTAGCATTTGTGAAATAATTTCTATAATTTACATTTTATAAATATACTAATTTTTAATAAGTCATGTTTGAGAAAGTAAATTGATTAAGAATGAATAGCCTTTAACCAAGATTTGGTTGTTTCCTTCATAGCCGATTACTTTGATAATGGAATCATCAGATGCAATGAACCTTGCCTGTTTAACAGCGGGATACTATCGACTACTGGTTGATTCAAGGCGCTCAATATTTAACATGGCCAACAAGAAAAATGCAGGATACCGAGAAACAGGTATTTATTGCATAATGCATTAACAGAAGTCACCTGTACAAAACAAGGCCTTGATCCTGCCATTGGACCCACGCGGACAAAACTCCATTGATGTCAGCAGGGGTTTGTGCAGGTACAGGGGTATGCCCATTCAGAACTGGTTGCTAGTCTGGGGCCTAGAGTTGTATTATATAAATTCAGCTTTATAGTATTTTAATATTCACCCATTGTTCGTATTAATGGTAACATAAAATGTTTAATGTATTCCTCCTCGTGCCATAGTGAAACAAATAAAAGATCATTTGTTTGTATACAGGTTATAACATTTTATATAACTAGAATCTTCACGCAAAAATGTGAGGTGCTGGGGTTTTTTTCGATTATCATATCAACCAGTCCTGGGTTATCCTTTCACCTAGTTTTAGTTTAGTTCTCTGCCCTCATAGCATAAAAACATCCAGTTAATCTTAATTCTTAAATCAAGAGCTCTGTAACTTGAAGTAGAGGAGAGTTTGAAAATGGCTTGACTGTAGAAAGGACAAGTTTAGGCAGCTGTTCTATATTTAAAACATTGCTTATTCAGAATTAACAAGTCATTATTATAAAATGTCAGGGAGCAGTTCATATGTTAAATGACTGTTGCTTTTATTTTGCCAAACTGTAGGAAATGAAAATAGAGGGAAGTATAACCTCCTTGCTTCTGAGTGGAACTGTGTCCCAAAAACTACTACATTCATGGCTGAAGGGGATCAAGAAGCCCAAAGAACATTTGTAGACCCAAAACAGAAGACTCCAGAAGTTTCCGAAAGCCCCATGTGTCAAAAAGACCACAGGCATCTGTACTTAGAAAATACCCATAATTCAGGTGGACTCGATCAGGGGCTGACCAAACAAGATGACTCCACTGAGGCAGGAGAAAACAGAAGTTTAAACCAGCAGTCATTACTGTCACTCTCAGGACTGGAATCTACCAAGAAAGCACAGGATTCTCCAAGGGGAGCAAAAGTATCCTTTATATTTGGAGATCACAGCTTGGATGGTATCAGTCCCCAAACCCTTGGCTATGAAAGACTTCTGGATGAAAGTCCAGAAGTATTGGACAAACAGAGAGCTATTTATATTAGTAGTACCAATGACATTAAAGGTCTAGAATTGTCTCCAGATGTTGAAAGCATTCAGTTTGCTACAAATTCTGTTTATGCAAGCATAAACGATGGCAAAATATTTGGAGCTGCAGAAGGGATAGAAGAGCCCTTGTTGCATGACATTTGTTATGCGGAAAACACAGATGATGCTGAAGATGAAGATGAAGTTAGCTGTGAGGAGGACATTATGGTAGGAGAAATCAGTAGACCTACCATTCTCAGTCTTTCTGGTTCAAGTGATGATATTATTGATTTGACATCACTCCCCCCTCCGGAAGGTGATGATAATGAAGATGACTTCTTATTACATTCTTTAAACATGGCCATTGCTGCTCCTCCACCTGGCTTCAGGGACAGTTCAGATGAGGAAGACTCTCAGAACCAAACAACACAGTATACAGAAGACAAGGAGCAAGCTAGTAATCTAGGAAATGATGACATTCCAGTGTCGCTCATTGATGCTGTCCCTACTAATCCTGAGGGGAAGTGTGAGAAGGGGCTAGATGATGCTGTAGTCTCCACTCTTCAAGCACTAGAGGCTTTGGCTGCTTCAGAGGAACAGCAGACGAATGACAATTCAGGTTCTTTCACCATAGTTACATTTATTCATTGAACATCATTCCACTTCATCCATTTGCACATTTAGCCTTGGACACATTCCATTCTATATGTTTTTACCATCATGTATACACCTCACATTCCATATCACTTGGTGGAACTACCATAATGTTGCTAAGTTACCTTTCTTGGGGATTATGCAATAAAATCAGAGTCTGTTTTAAAATAAACCATAAAAATCCCTTTATTTTTATATTTAACACACCCCATTTGCTTATCCGTTTATTCAAGTGCCTCAGATGCTTTCATTAATTGGCTCTTATTTTTTGTGGCATGCAGGTGTAGCAATCTTGCGAGCATATAGCCCTGAGTCATCCTCAGATTCTGGCAATGAAACAAACTCTTCTGAAATGACTGAAAGTTCTGAACTAACCGCAGCACAGAGACAGTCAGAAAACTCAACACGTATGTTTTTGACCACTAGTGAAGGTTACCAACCCCTTGTGGAAGAGCAAACAGAGTTCCCCATTGCTAAGAATCAGGCTGGAGGACCACTTGCGAAATCCTCACAGTCAATAGCTGGTCACCAAGCTGCTGAGCTACAGTCAAAAGTTGTGCCTTCGAAGCCGATTCTTCATTCAGACAATATGGAAATGGAACCAGAGACCATGGAGACAAAATCTGTCACTGACTATTTTAGCAAATTGCAGATGGGGTCTTTGGTATACTCTTGCACTAGTAAAAGGAAAAATAAGATGACTGATGGAGAAGTGAAAGCAGCCTGTGATGGTAATGCTGCTGTGAAAAAGCATCAGGGAACTAAAAAAGCCGAGACTGATGCAGCCCTAAAAGCTATATGTGGTACTCTTCCATCAAGAGACGGTCAACGCAAAAGCACTTGTAGTGTGGAGAGAGCTGCCTTTCGCCAAAGATGGTATGCTGCTGCCGATGGTGAAGCTGCCGGTAAATCAAGCTCAGAAATGGTGAATGGGAAGACATTTCCAAGAGTTTCTGGTCTTGGTAAAACAGATACTGGCTCTAAGAATGAAGTGGATCCTGACGTTGATGAGGGTGAGACTTCAGCACTTGGCCCAGGTGAAAACTTTTTGTCTGATATGACTGTGTCTTCAGCCAAAGACCTAAATGACTCAGAAGATGCAGATGACCATTCTTCAAAGCTACCGGATGCTGAGCAGAGTGTGAGTAGACTTTGTGACTATCACTTGACCAAGCGCATGTCGTCTTTGCAAAGTGAGGGTCATTTTTCTCTGCAAAGCTCCCAGTGCTCTTCAGTGGATGCGGGATGCAGCACAGGCAGTAGCCCATGTGCTACCCCCGTCGAATCTCCTCTTTGTCCCTCTGATGTTAAGCACAGGATCTCAGATTCATCTGTGAAAGGAACTGGCTATGTTCCAGCAGATGAAAGAGTTGTCATCCTTCCAAACCATGGAACCACGTACAAGGAACTACATCAGCAGTCAGAAGCTGTGTGTCACAGAATGACAATGCCTGCCATTCATTCAGCAGTTAATGCTGAACCACTGTTTGGCACTTTGAGAGATGGATGTCATCGGATCCCCAAGATTAAAGAAACTACAGGTACAGCAATTTCAAAGCATGTGTTCTTAAAAACACATATTTAACAGGGTGTATGTGCAAAAACCAAGTGTGAAGATTACATCATCTCTTATCTGAATGCATATTGTCAACCTAGAGTGGACAGAGAAATTAGGTCTAAACTGTTGCTATTCATTCTCGCTTTCTGGTTCTGCTGTGTGCCTTTTGCTAAAATAACCCCAATTAATATGTGGACACGCAGGAAAACATTTCTATTAACATTAGCTTTTTAAAAATGTTTCCCAGTCTCCCTGACAAGGCTGTCTATTGGAAAAACCATTGCTTGAACGCTACATAGGAATTTCTAAAATTTTGTTTCTTTTGATTTTCTGGATGCTTCTGTGGAGCTAGATATATTTGATCCATATGAGCTTTAACAATGTATATAAATTTGGGGTAGCGGGGGAATCTGGGATTTAATTATTATATAATATATACTATTTGCCTGCTATGTGGCTAAAATAAGTGACTTTTGCTAAAATCAACAGTTGCATAGAATAATCTCCAGATAAAAATATGAAAAGTGTGTTGTTAATGATAGGCCAGGAAAGGCTTAGAGCATTGTAACTGTAAAGAAGAGAAAGAAATGGGATTAACTATGCATCATTTTAATTAAAAAACCCTTTGCATAAGTTTCCTGTAAGGATAGTTTAGGTGCAGTATCCTAATCACATAATTTAAGACCCAATTTTAAGAGATTTTATAAAATCTTGGTGGGGGCGGTTGTTTGTTTTTAATTTAATTGAAAACCATATTTGGTTGGGATCTAAACATTCCTTTTTACTGGTTGCAAGTGAAACACAGCAGCAATGTGTAAGTTTATGAGAACCAAAAAATGAAACTGATGAGAAGCAAAAGTGAAATAGTTTCTTTTCACTGCCTATAAAAAGCATATTGTGAAACAGAATAAAAATAAATGGAATTTTCCAAATTCTTTCCATTTTAGTAGACAGATTTTTAACCTATCGATATCCCTTTAAATACTAAATGGGAAACTTCCATTCCAGTTAGCAGAGGGGCGACGTTCATGAAAGGTCTATGGAACAATTTTCTGCTGCCTCACATTACAAGTCAAAGTGTGGTAATAGAGGAAGTAGTCAGTTATGCATAAATGAGAATATGTTGATAGATGTTTTAAAAAAATGTCATGCTGAGAGGAACACAAAGACATATGACTATTTCCTGAAAGACACATTACTATTCATGCATGGTACTAACTGAAATGGGGGTCCTGGAAAAATACCATGAATCTATTGGGGCATTTCATTTAAAAAAAAGGTCCATAAAAGATGCTTAGAAATTCATTCTACGAATATTATCAGTGTGATGCTTAATTATTCTCTCTGTTCTTCTACTACCCCTAGTGTAGCTTTCACAGAGCCTGGAAAGGGAAGACGAGGGGGCATACCTTCAGCTTTTCCTAAACAGCCTCTAACTGACTCCATCATGCTATCATCCAACATTCACTCAGAATCAAAGGTGCCAAGTCAAAATCAAGACTCTTGTGACATTCCTAAAGTAAAACAGGGATGTGGGGCAGCAGTTAGTTTATGGCCATGTGAAGTGATGGGAGGAAGCCTCAGAATGCCACCCAGCAGGAAAGTATTGAGACACAGCAGCAGCAGCATCTTTGCAGGGTCCACAGGCACTGAGATGCTTCTTGAGAAGAAAAAGGCTGCAGTCAGTCTGAAGTGTCTAGACATTGTGGCAAGAGATGATTCCAAGTCAGAAAAAAAGGTGGAACTCCCTCTGGGCAGAAAGTTATCCAAAAGCTATTCTCAGAGTTCTATGAATGTCAGCACTGATGTCAAAGACAATAAAAGGTCTTCAGTCACCAGCTCCATGCAGAAGGACTCCAAACAGTACAGAATGTTGCCCTTACGAAAGTCAGATGCCAGCAACTGGAGATGCCATGGCCCCTTCAGCTATTGTTTCCTAAGCAGAGGAAATGACAATGAGGATGATGAATATGATGGAGACAACAACCACCTCTCATGCCTCTATGAACCACAGATACCGTGTGAGTTACCAGAACCAGCCAGTCAGTCTTTTTCCATTGAAAATGAGAAGAAAGCTGTTGAGTCCCCCAAACAGATACTAAATAGTATACATGACAAGAGCAATGCTGAAGACCAAGGTGGCCAAACTGATATGAATCTCAGTGACATGGCCTTTGAGGCACAAATCACAAGAATAAACGTGATGAAAGAGAAAATGTATGCAATGCCTGATGGATTTCTTGCAGCACAAAAGGATGCCAATGAGCTGCTCTCTCTGGTCCGAGCAAGTGTGGGGAAGAGGGAAGATTTACATCCGGAAACATATGACCTTAAACTTTCTCAGTACAAACAACTGTTATCTATAGAATCGAGACAGTTGGGAAGTGCCTGCAGGAAAATGGCCATGGCTGATAAAAGCCCCGAGGAAATGCTTCTAGCTATGACTTCCAGCTTTCAAGTGCTCTGTTGCTTAACAGAAGCCTGCATGCGTTTAGTGAAAGTCATGAACTCTGAAACACAGCAGCAGGAAATTATAGCTAAAATAGATGAGGTCGTAATAAACTACGTTTGTCTTCTGAAAGCTGCAGAAGCAGTGTCAGACAAGACCTCCGATGATCCTAGCATTAAACTCTTGGCTCGACATTCGACTACCATGGCCGCTATTGTAAGCACACTAACACGTTCTCTTAAAACACTTTTAAACAAATAAAATACAAACGTCACTTCATAATCTACCTTTGCGAAGCCATACATAAAACCTTTTGTTTACTGTATGTGTATGAACTAATGTAACAAACTCAGCTCCCTCTATCTGTATATTTTGTTATTTTATAAAAAATAAGTATGCGATTGAAAAAAAAACAGTTCTACTACCGAACATTGACAAAGTACTGGCCAGATCTATCCTTCTGTTTATATTTTAAATAAAATGACAAAAAAACAAACAAAAAAAATCAAAGAATCCCACAAAAGCATATTGACGTTTGGCTATTTTTCATATAGTCAAATATACAGGTGTAAGATGTGAGCTTTTAAAGCCTGTGATGTCAGAGGAATTGTTTCCTGTTCCCTCCGAATTTCCATTTGGAGAACATTACATCCACATTTAGAAATAAGAAATGGAATCATAATGTATATAACACAGTATTTAATGTTTTAAAATTATAATTTTTAAGCATTGGAAATAGCAAAAAGACATTTAAAATCCAAGAGACTATTATGACTTACTAGAGAATATATATATAATAAATAACTCTTTTGTTCATATTGCCTGGTTACCTGATGCTTCTTTTCTAGGAAATGCTTCCATATTGCAAATAGAGAAAATGACAGATTCAGATAGTATCTGATATATTATATGGTAGAATGTTGCATTTTGGGACCAAATGATAACTGTGTGGAAGATAGGGAAGAATGGTGAAGGGCACAGAATGTGGAATGGGTTGGGTTTTTTTATGATGAAAGAACTGTGAGAAATGCATTGGTTTCATTGAAGGTAGAAGAACCTAATGGCCAGGTCTAAAATCCTTCCATTGGTGAACAGAAAGCAAAGGAAAACCATTTGGAAGTTACTATTCTTGTACAATTTTATCATAAATAAATGACTCATGTCTATTTTGTTAACATATTTTACAGTTCGTATCAGATGTTTCTGGATGTATAAATGTAAACACCTTCAAAATAAAATTAATCTTTTGAAAGAAAATACCCTTTTTGCACACACACACAAAAAAAATCTCTGCAACATTTTTAGCAAAGAACCCAGGTACTTTTACTTGTGATAGAGAGGGAATTTGTGACAGCTTCTCTAATATATAAATATATGTAAAATATACAGTAGCATTAAAGTTGCAACACAGCCAAGGTAAAAGAATTCAAAGTTTCAGCGACTCTTAGGCTTTAAAGGGGAGATTTTTTTAAAGTGCCTATGAGCTTTAGGCACCCAGCCCTAGTGAAAACATTAAATCCCTAAACTCTTTTGAAAATAGCCACCCTAACTTACTGGGTGCCTAAATAATACCTGGTGTAGGTATTATTGCCCATGTTTTTCATAATCTCGCATGTAGAGGCTGATGTAATAATAACAACGATAAAGGTCTTGGTTTGAGAATTGCACTTGCCTGCTCAGCTGTAGCAAAGTAGAGGCTCTTTGTTGAGTGAGGGGGCCTAAGACATCAGAATTGAACCATTTGCTGAAAAAAAAGAAAGTGTGAGTGCAAAGAATAACCTACCAAATGTGAAGACAAGCAAGCTGTGTTGTCTTCTTGAGTCTGCACACAGACAACTCCAGAGACTCTGCTTCAATTTATAGCTTTGTCAAACAGCAACAAAGTGAAATTTAAAAGACTGTGGTAAGCTTCACTGCTGCCATTCAATTTTACAGTGGCTGTTTCACTGTGAGCAGCAGTAAAATTGTCAAGATAGATCTTCTTCATCTCCCTCAGCAGTGATGTCTAAGCATATTGCACTGAAAAGATTAAGTTAATTATTTTACGTGAGACACATTCTTCCACTGCTTAGACACCTGTATCAAGTCTGGAGCTAAGGGTAACGTTTTCAGCTATGCCTATGTCCCATTTTCAAAAGCTACTTAAATGCTCAGGAGCTGAATCCCAATTGACTTACAATGCAGTTTTTGCTTCTAAGTGCCGACATCACTTTTGAAAAAAAATGGCACTTAGGTTCCTTGGGCACTTTTGAACATTTTGTGCTAAATTCATCTCAGTTGTAGCTCGAGTGAAATCAGATTATTCGAGTTAATGGAGTTACACCAAGCACGAATTTGGCCATACAGGTTTAATTTTCATTACCAATATTATTAATTATTATTACTCTTTGTACTATATAGCAAGTAGGCACCCCGTTCATCAACCAGATCCCCATTGTGCAAGATACAAACACAGAACAAAAAGATGGACTCTACCCCAAAGAGTTTACTCCTAAAAATGTAGCAATGATATTATCTAGAGTGTATAACTTCCCATATGAAGCTCAGCAAGTGACAATCCACATGCTATGTCAAGTGCTGATTTTTGGACAAAAAGTTAAATAATAAGCCACTGTGACAGCTTTGAAATCCCTGAAAAATATTTTGTGCACTTTGACTTGGCTGAATGGAGGCAGGGAAAGAGACAGTTACCATATTTTTTAATGGACAATTCTGTTTTCCTCCAAGTATTCTCTAAACAAAACTTTGAGATTCCCTGTCAGTGATAATAGGGTTTGGAAGCCCTTGGCAACTGAAAAACCCATCAGAGCCATTTAATGATGATGCTGTAGTTCCTGATTTAATCTGCTACTTCTATAGTGGAAATAGTAGTCTACAAGAACTAATAATGAGACAGCAGCTCTTCTGTTTGAAATAACCAGAGTGAGCTGCTTTAATAATTAACCTGGTGGCACTTCAGGCTTGATGCTTGTCACATACTTACAGGTGACATTGTTTTAGTATGCTTTGTGCTGTATTGATATGATAGTACCTTTCATCTATGTTCATTTTGAGGTCCCACCTTTAGAAATCTAAAGAGTGCCAAATTCTGCTTTGACTTACTTGGGGTTGCACAGGAGCTCCAGGGCCAAAGTTGAGTAAAGGAACTGAGGGCTGCTGAATTTAGTGGTTCCTAGCTTGTGTATGTATTTGCCGTAGCTTAATCTCCCCCATTCGGTCTGCATTGATTATCTTCCTTTTGGTCCATAAAGATGTAATAGCTTTTCCAAGTTCTAAAGGCAATGATAAAGACTATTTTTATTCATCCCCAAATAGTGGCTTAAGGCATCTCAGAGTTTGTGAACTGCATGTGAAATGGCTCTCCTAATGAGCAAGACAGGCTTAGTAATGCCAGATTCCTGGTATTGCTCTAATAAAGCTCTCAAGCTAATCCGACTAGCAGCCACTATGAGGTATCTTTTTGCAACTGGAGTGTAGTATGTCCTGACAGTGTCCATTGCTCTAAACTATCCTGCATCCCTGTCATTTATTCACAATTCTGTAGTTTTATTTCCCTGGGCTCATTTTGTCGAGGTCTTGATTACTGTCTTCAGAGCTTCAATGTCTGTCACGGAGGTCACAGAAGTCACAGATTCCTTGACCTCCATGACTTCTGCAGCAGCCGGTGCGGCTGGCTCCAGGGCTGCCCAGGCAGCCCACGGGCGAGTCACACCAGCCGCTGCTGGGGCAGTCTTGGGCCGCTGCCCTCCCCCGCCCCAGCAGCAGCAGGAGGAGTTTGGGTGTGGGAGGAGACGGGGGGTTGGGGCATGGGACGGGGTGAGGGCTCTGGGTGGCGCTAACCTTGGGGGGGCTCCCTGGAAGTGGCGACATCCTCCTCCTTCAACGCCTAGCTCCGTGCACTGCCTCTGTCTACAGGCACCGCCCCCGCAGCTCCCACTGGCCGCAGTTCCTGGCCAGTGGGCGCTGCGGAGCTGGCAGCACGTGGACCGAGGAGCTTAGGGAGGGACTTGTCGCCACTTCTGAGAAGCCAGGTAGGGAGCCTGCCACCGCTGCCAAACCTCACCTCCCAGCACCACTGGGGATCCGAGGCTGCTCCCACTCGAGCACCCCTGGTGCTGGATCACCCCACCTGAGTACCTGCGGGGCCCCTCCACGCATGTGTGGCACCCCCTTGATCACATACCCCCAGAGCACCCATGGCAGCCCTCCAGGCCACACACCCCCAGAGCACTCGTGGCACCCCCCTGGGCTGCACCCCCACCCCGAGCACCTGTGGCCCCACACTGCCTCAGCACCCCCTGGGCACCCCAGAGCACCCGTGTGGCCCTCAAGCACCCGCAGCACCGCCCCCTCCCCGATTACTGCCTCAAACACACACACACCGCCGAGTACACACAGCACTCCCAAGATTGAGTCAAGGGTATAACACAAGTCATGGACAGGTCACAGGCTAAGTTCTATCTAAGCTGTGCGGCCGCACAACTGCCTATTAAGCCCCGCGCAGGGGCTCAGGGCTGCGGCAGGGAGAAGCACCCCTCCACCAGCGCCTCGCCCCAGTGCAGAGCTGCCGCAGCAGGGAGAGACGCCTCTCCCCGCCGGCCCAAGCATGGACCTGCCTCAGACTTGCTGCGGTCAGGGGAGAGGAGCCCCTCCCTCAGCCCAGCCCCGCCAGAGCTGCCACAGTCAGGGAGAGGTGCCTCTCCCCCGGCCACAAGCTGCTGCGGCAAGAAAGGGGGCTGGGAGGAGTCCTCTTTCCCCACTGCACCCCAAACTCCTCATTCCCAGCCCCACCCCAGAGCCCATACCCCAACCCTGTGCCCCAGCCCTCCTGCACCCCGAAACTATCATCCCCAGCCCCGCCTCAGAGCCTTCACCCCTTGCTGGAGCCCTCACCCCTCCAAACCCCAGCCCTCTGCCCCAACTCCACATCACTTCCATATTGGTGCACCTAACAAAATTCATTCCACACAGGACGTACAAAATTAGAAGGAACAGTGGTCACGGGCCATGAATTTTTGTTTACTGCCTGTGACCTATCCATGACTTTTACTAAAAATACCCGTGACTAAAATGTAGCCTTACTCAGACTACATCAATAAAATTGTTAGTCATCTCTGAAGGCCAAAAGCTGCCATCAGTTACACCTGTGAAATACCACTGAAGGATTATGGGATTGCTGTGTTGTAATGGACAGCAGAATTGGAAAACTATGGGTTTGTACAGGCAGTATTAGGCTTGCAAAATATTTACTACTGTTGATGATACATGAGCCAGAGGAATGCAGTTTGATTCTAATGTTGAATGTGCAGATAACAGTAGCTAGAAAAAGCATATTTTTAAATGATGATATAGGGATCATTGAGAGATGTTAAACATGAGACTCCTACATTAGACTCCTACAATGCGATTTTTAAAGTCACTTTTCAGAGAGGAAAAAATAATTTTACGTCCTTCTTTGGTTATACACTGCAATGCTCCTCGTTGTTTTCTGTGCTTTAAGAGTTTTCACTCAAAGGACAATGTAGACAAAAGACACCATCTGTAAGATTTGCTTCATCCCATTCAGGAGTTTGGGGGTATGGGATTCAGAACTGAGATCAGAAATCCGTTTTCCATGATAATTCACCATTGAAGCTCTGAAGACAGTAATCAAGACCTCAATCAAGACCAGGGAAATAAAACTATAGAATTGTGAATAAATGACAGGGACGCAGGATAGTTTTAGAGCAGAGGTTCTAGAACTGTGGTCCATGGACCTCCATTTTCAGAGCCCATGACAGGTGGATGTTGAAGAGAGCTTCATAGGGAATCTCTGTGA